GGTGAAGCCTCTCCAGAGTAGAACAGCCTGTACAAACCAGTCCCAGAGAGCTGAGCCTGCTCCCAAAGGAGGGAGAAGTTTGTTGTTTTTGGTTTGTGGTTTTTTTTTTTTTTTTGTATTAAGGCCAATTGCAGTGGGTTGACCTTGGCTGGAATCCAGGCAATCACCGAAGCAGATCTCTCACTCCCCTCCACAGCTGGACAGGGGAGAGAAAATAGAGCAAGAGGGTGATGAGTTGAGATAAGGACTGTGAGAGATCCCTGACCAAATCCCATCATGGGCAAAACAGACTTGAATTTGCAATATTAATTGAATCTATTAACAACAGAATAAGAGCAGGATAATGACAAGTAAAATAAATCTTTACAACACCTTACCCTCACCCCTCCCTCCTTCCCAGCTCTACCTCCTCCCTCAGTGCTGCAGGGAGACAGGAATGAGGGTTATGACCAGCTCAGAACAAGATGTTCCTGACACTGCTCAGGGAGAGAAGTCAGCGGGAGAGAAGTCAGAGTCCTTCCCCTGCTCCAGTGTGGGGTCCCTCCCACAGGAGACAGTTCTACATGAACTTCCCCAGTGTGAGTCCATCCCATGGGCAACAATTCCCCATGATCTGCTGCAACATGGATCACTCTTCCATGGGGTGCAGTCCTTCAGGGACAGGCTGCTCCAGCATGGGTTCCCCCCTGGGGTCATAAGTCCTCCCAGTGCACCTGCCCTAGCATGAGCTCCTGTTTCCACAGATCAGCATATCCTGCCAGGACCCTGTTCCAGCATGGGCTTCCCAGGGATCACAGCCTCTCTCAGGCATTCCCTGCTCTGGTGTGGGCTCCTCCAGGGGCTGCAGGTGCATCTCTGCATCCCCGCACCCTCCGAGGGCTGCAGGGGAATCTCAGCTCTGGTGCCTGGAGCAGCTCCTGCCCCTCCTCCTGTGCTGAGCCTGGTGTCTGCAGAGTTGTTCCTCTCACCTGTTCTCACCCCACTCCTCTCTGGCCACAATTACAACTGCCAGTGACTGGCAACCATTTAATTTTCTTCTTAAATCTGTTATCCCAGAGATGTCACAATCATTACTGATGGGCTTGGCCTTGGGGTCTGTCCTGGAGCTGGCTGGACCCTGGTAGCTCCCCCTATTACAAAAACCTGGCCATGCAAACCCAACAGACCCATTCCAACCCCAGGAGAGAAATAAGAAGCCACGTGCATCCTCAGGCACTGTGACACCAGGGGTTGGGGACACCACAGAGCCACCCAGCCCTGCTCTCCATCCCAGGGACAGCCCCACCACATCCATGCTACCCCACCCATATCCTTTCCCATCCTGGTGGAAATGCAGATGTTTTCCACCACCACCACACCCCCTGCATGGATGCAGCCGGGCTGGGGAAGGAGATGAAGCTGAGCCAGCTGCCACAGAGGAGACGCCCTCGATAAATGTCTGCACGTTATGAAATACACCTGCAGCAGGTTCCTGGCCGACAGGTGTGGCAGGACTGGTCCTGCAGAGATGGCACAGGCAGAGGTTTGGCTCTGTCACCACAGGTTCTCCCACCACCTCAGAAACCAAGTTCTTCTTCTCCTGGACCACACTGCTACATGCCTCGGGGACAAGGAGGCTGAGGGTTGTGTGTGCAGGACAGGAGACAGGAGCAGTGCCCTTTCTGGAGTGAGCACAAGGCTGCTCCCAACCATCCTGGGGTGCCTAAAATCTCAGTGTCCCATAGACTGCCTGAGAGGACTCTCCAAGAGCTAACTCAAAGCAGAAAAGCCTCAAATCTATTGATTTTCCATCATAAGTTTTCTGCAATCCATCCATGATAGAGGCACCACCTCCCATTCCTGGCCACTGCTGAGCTACCTCTGCACTTCAGAATGACAATGACAATGCAAAATCCAGCAAGCCAAGACTGACCATGGCACAGCTCAAGGCAGACGTGAAAGAAACAAAACCTCTCATTTCAGCAGGGAAGCTTAAACGCAGCAAAGTTTTAAGAACATCCAATGCTGCTCCCATTTCACTCTGAACTGAGGGGGAAACACGCTTCTCTCAGGATCACCAGCAAGGCATCTACGTTGTAAGTGAATACATACATATATATGCAAAAATGTATATAAATAAATAAAAATAAAATAGCCAGAGTCTCAAACAAACAGAGGATGACTGGTTGGCTACAGTAGCCCTTCATTTCAGAGGACACAGTAATCTGCTAATTATCCTCAAGTGGCAGAACTGCCCCTTCTCCGAGGAGTTTCACAACATCCCGAGGCATTTATGGAGATTACTCAACCAGAAGCCTCAACACTTCCAATCTTCTGCTGTCCTTTCCCCAACCTGATCATAGCCCAAACAGAGCAGCAAACTGTTAGCTCTGAAACTTAACAATGGTGTAACATGAATGTCTTAACACTTCTGCCAAAGTGAAAAACAGTGCAATCATTGATGATATTTAACTACTCCATCAGAGCATAATGGAAGAATGTTAAATGTGTCTCAAACACCTCTGAAAAAGCTGCCCCCAGCTTCCACAGAAAACACAGGGTCTTGCTATACTTTTAGCTACAGCTCCTCACAAATACACAGGACCCCAAAGACTCAACTGAGCAGTAAGAACATGAAATTAAATTAGGTTCAGAGGGGTTTTCTTGCTGCTTTGCAGAGACCTGTGGGTAAAATCTCAACCAGTGACAGCTACCACAATTTCAGACCCTTCCTTCTGGGGAAAAACCAAGTGAGAGCAAGGATGGCTGCAAGGAGAAACGGGAGAGAGACACAAATTGGGAAAGGAGGGGGGAGTCAACACAGCAAAATTTGTCCTCACCAGGAGATCACAGAATTAACTCAACCATGCAGTTCACCCCAACATGAGGTACCCCAGAGAGCAAAAAGAGTATTGTTATCCTCATTCAAAATCAAGTGCTGAAGAAGAGACTTGTGGAGATAAAGCCCAGCATCCCACCATCCTCCCTTCCACAGACTGGATGCAGGGCTCACATCCATCAAGCATGTATCCATGCTTTGCATTCCGTTTTTCATGGCTCTCAGGAACCCTCCATAGACCATTCCCACGCCATTTGTGGATCAGGCTGACTCAGCCACGGGAACAAACCCAGCCAAGCCCCTCAGGTACCTCAGCCCTCTTCCAAATGGCATCACAAAGGCAGGGCTGGAGTTCAGTTCATCTCCACAAATTCTCTCCAGTCTTTCATGTAGCTAGGTGCTGGGCTTCACCCCCCCAGATCACCTAAGACAAGTTGCTTCCCTGCATCACCTTCACCTGCAGCAGCATCCAAATGCAGCTCCTCTGCTTTAAAAGCAACCTGAGGTCTTAGAAATGATAAAAAAAAATAAAAAAATGCACAGCCTGAGCTTCCCGAAACAGCCACTGCTCGTCTGTGCCAAAGACAACACACTCGGTGCAGGGCAACCACAGCCTACAAATCTTACCCAAGGCTTGAGGGGATAAAATGCAGCACAAGATTTTGCTCTTGAACCTTGGGCTCAGCAATGGCAGAGAAAAGCCTTTATGAGACTCACAGGGAAAAATAATGTTGGTGGACACAACAGAATGGCTGTTTCCACTCACTGGAGACAAGGTGTGAATATTTGCTAGTCAAGGTCACATAAATCATAAGCAGAATGGGAGGGTCCCTCCTCCATCCTGTGTGGCACCCCTCTGCCACAATGGGGATGCTCAGATGGTGGTCCACCATCAAAAAGCCTTCCTAGGTTTTGTAGAGAAGGGACTATCAAATGATCTGGTCTTATTTTGGCATCTTTGTACTGAAAGAAACAATGTGGAAGCTCAGACTGTCTTCTGCTTCCTCCCATCTCTTCAATTTCTGTTAATGAGGCTGTGATTTTAAGCTTCATCCCATACCTGCCTCAGTGGTGGAGAAAGAGCAGGGTGGATTGCTGGAGAAGGAATGAATGTGGCACCCATGGGCACGTGGAAATGGCCCATTTGAAGGAAGCACCCAGGTTCTGGGGCACTGAGAAACAGCACCTGCCCCTTTCCAACCTAATGGCATTGCTGCTTCGTCCACTGTGGGATCTCATGGGTGGGAATCTCACCCCTTCCAGAGAAGCCTGACCCAGGGAATGGCCCCGGGAGGTGAAGCTTAGTTTCATTCTATGGAAAAACCACTCCAAGGACTGAGTTTTGAGGCACGGGGAGGCCAGTGACACCCAGCAACTGTGCCCCCAGCGTCCAGCATTTCTGGGGGCAGCTGCGGCAAAAAAACATCCCACGACTGCCGGCTGCTCCGCTGCCACAGCATCTGTTGTCCCCTACTGTCACCCACCACGGCCCCCGAGACCACGTGCAGCCAGAGTGACTCTGCAGGAAAACGATAACCGTAAAACGACAACAAAACCGGGTCTCTGGCGAGCCCTCCTCGCTCGCTACACCCGGACCCAGCCCGGGGGCCGCTCCTCCCGCGGGGTGGGCGCCGACCCCAGCCGGGACCATCCCAGGGGAGCCCGCGGGGATGCTCGGCGGGCACCTTTGTGCGGCGGTGCCGCTGTGCGGGCTCTGCCGCCGGCTCTGCCGCCGCGGGGCCGCCGATGGCCGCGGCTGCTGCGGCGGGGACGCGATGGGCTCCCCGCGCTTCTGCCCACGGGGGGCTCGCCCGGGGCGGGGCTGGGGGGCAGCCCTGCCCTTCTCCGGCCATACGGAGCGGCCGGGAAGCTTCCAGAGGCGGGGAGCGCACCCGAACCCAGCCCCGGAGCTCTCCGCCGGGAGCGCCGCATCCCGGCGGGGCCCCACGGCCACGCACGGACTGTCACCGAGCGGGGGGGACCCCCCCGGGGCGAGGCCGCCGCGACACCGCCAGCACCGAGACCTGCCCAGAAACCGGCTCCATCGGCGGCACGACCCCAACCCCCCCGCGGGGTTCGCGTCTTTCCGAGGGAGACAAAAGCCGGGATGCGCTCCCCCCGCCGTCCCCCTTCGCTCCCCCCCGGCTGGTGCTGTGTCACGTCCCCCCCGGGCCACGCTTACCGTGCGGGGCCGGGCGCGGTCAGTGCCCCGCTGAGGGGGTCATGGGCGCGGCGCGGGGCGCGGGGGGCGCGGGGGGCTCCGGGGGCGCCGCCCGGGAGGACGCTCCGGCTCCGGCTCCGGCTCGGCAGAGGGACGGGCCGGGGCGGCGGGCAGTGACGCGCCGCGCTCCGCCCGCGGCCCGCGCCGGCCCTGACGGGAGATGTAGTCCGGGGCTGCGGCCTGCCCGCCGCGGGGGGGCCGCACGGCGGGCAGCGGACGGGGACACCCCGAGTGCCGCAGCTCCGCGCCTCTGACAGGAACTTCCCGGACCCCGCAGCCTCGGGATCCGGCAGGGACCCCCCGGACCCTCCCACTCCCGGGATCTGACAGGGACCTCTCGCCTCTTGCACCGCCGGGCTCCGAGGGAGACTCCCACATCCCGCAAGCCGGGCTTTGACCGGGACCGCCCGGACCCTGCAATCCCGCGAAGTGACTGAGATCCGGGAGTCCCGCACCCCGGGGATCTGACAGGGAGGACTCCCCCGATCTGGGACTCCGGATTCTGACAGGGACCCTCCGCACCCCTCACCCCGCAGGGATCTGCTGGTCCCGCACCCCGGGCCCTCACAGAGATCCCCGCATCCACCCCTTCGGGGGCCTGACAGGAACGTCTTGATCCCACAGCCCCGGGATGTGACCGGAGACCCCCGTGTCCTGCACGCCGGGGATCTGGCGGGGAACTCTCAGGTGCCCAAACCCTGGGACCCTCAGCCACCGAGACCCAAACCCTGCAGGGCTGGTGAGAGACCAGCCAGGCTCAGAGCAGCCTTTGGGGCGGTGTTAACCCACCCAAGACAGCGCCAGGAACAAACACTGACTGGCGTGTCCTCACCTGCATCCATCGGGATTCAGTTCAGAGCTGCAATGGTCTCCTCAGGACAAAGCAGCATCCAGCTGGGCTTCAAGGAGCGGGGGTCAAACTGGGCTGAAGAGAAGGAAACTGCAAGTGTTTCACAGACTCACAGAACGCTTTGGGTGGGAAGGACCTTAAGATCATCCAGTCCCACCCCCTGCCATGGGCAGGGACACCTTCCACTGTCCCAGGCTGCTCCAAGCCCCGTCCAGCCTGGCCTTGGACACTGCCAGGGATCCAGGGGCAGCCCCAGCTGCTCTGGGCACCCTGGGCCAGGGCCTGCCCACCCTCCCAGCCAGCAATTCCTAATTGCCAAGAGCCCAAAATCTGTGCCTGCCCTCTGGCCGTGGGAGCCATTGCCTGGGTGCTGTCCCTGCAGGCCTTGTCCCCAGTCCCTGTGCAGCTCTGCTGGAGCCCCTGGAGGCCCTGGCAGGGGCTCCAGGTGTCCCTGGAGCCTTCTCTTGTGCAGCTGAGCAGCCCCAGCTGTGCCAGGCTGGCTCCAGAGCAGAGGGGCTCCAGCCCTGGCAGCAGCTCCGTGGCCTCCTCTGCACTGGCTGCAGGAGCTCCAGCTCCTTGTGCTGCTGGAGCCAGGGCTGGGGCAGCTCTGCAGGTGGGCTCTCACCTGAGCCCAGGGGCACAGGGGCAGGATCCCCCCTGCCCTGCTGCCCACGCTGGGGATCAGCCCAGGGCAGGGGGGCTCAGGCTGGGGCAGGTCCAGCTGTCACCCACAACACCTTCTCCCTTTTCCCAGGGCTGCTCCCTCAATCCATTCTCCAGCCAGTCTGTGTTTGTGCCTGGGATTGCTCTAACCCACATGGAGGACCTTGCGTTTGGCCATGCTTAATTTCATGTGGTTTGCACAGGCCCGTTTCTCAAGCTTGCCAAGATCTCTGTGCATGGCAGATAAACCAAGTGTTTCTATATAAACACACAAAATTCTGAGACAGGAAATGTGAAAACCGGAATTTAAGCACCTTTTAAACATCTCTCTAGTCCACTGGATCCCTTCAACTCTGGTGCTCAAAGCCACCCAGAAATGTTCCTATAAGCAATTTAAACCACTTTCTGCTTACCACACCAGGCTCTCAAAAGCACCCACCGAACAATCATCTCCCTTTTCTTTTGGTCTGGGTTGTATTCGAGAGGTTAACTTTATTTCTAACCATGGATTCTTTGTTGCTCCCTGTCTGGTTCTACCGTCACACTTACCCGGATAAATGGATCACGTTAATGAACATCAACGCAAGGACTGCAGCCATAAATTCACCAGAATTGCTGGCCTCTGAAGCAACCTTAATTCTACTTTGACAGCAAAATCGGATTCCAAAGATCTCTCTCCCTGCTGTGCTTTATTTTGGGCCTTATCGTTTGCTGGGCAGGTTGTCATGACAACCTGATATTCACCGGAGGGTGGCTGTAATTGGGAGAGCACATTGTTAATTTAGCTCCAGATTCTTTTTATTTTGTTGTATTTTAAGCAAAGGGGGACTGCCTAGATTTTCATATTTTTATCTATGATCATACTATGGTTTAATTATTAATCTGAGTGCCAATAGCATCTCTCCAGTGACGGCTGAGCTGCAGAGCTCACCAGGGCAGAAAACGGCTCTGCCCACATCCTTTTTTCCCAGCTCATCTCCTCACGCAGCCTCCCCACATCTCCTCCAGCCCTCAAGCCCCTAAACCAAGAGCCCCCAGGCCCAGGATTTCACAGGGATGCTCCTGCTGTATGGGGGAGAAAAAAAGGTGTGACTATTCTTGTGTTAATGCTTATTTTTTGGAATTCCAGTGTCAGCTTTAACCTGAAAACAATTCATCTCAGATAGTTATTTAGAGCAACTCGCTCTCTGCAGAGAACACCAGCCCATAATATTAACATTTTGGCATGTGGAAATCCAGCTCCTGGATGGGAACAGCAGGTCCTGGCTCCATGTGCTGAGACCTCTTTGTGCACCGCACAGCAGGTCCAGGTCCCACATGCCAGGACCTCTTCGTGCACCCCGCTCCTGCCCCAACATGCTCAAGGCATCCTTAGCTTAGAGACGTCACAAAATGTCACAGAATGCCACCAAGCACTCGCCTGAATCCTTGCTGGAAGCTGAAAGGTGTCAGGACTGGGGACTCTGGATCAGGAACTCAGATGGACGCTGGATCAGGACACACGACTTCCAGCCTGAGGTTCTTGGGAAATGACCCATCCTGCAGAGCACAGTGTGTGTAGGGGTGTGAGAAGGAGCTGGGTTTGTTTTTCCAGGGGCTGTGGGGGATGTGGACAGGTGACAGCAGGGTGGAAGCAGGGTGACATCAGGGTGGCATCAGGGTGGCTAAAGGCAAACCCACGGCGGGGTGGGTGCCAGACTCTGGAGCAGGTGCCGCGTCTGTCGCACTCCCACCTTCGCATGGGCTGGAGGCTCCCTGGCCACGCTGCTCATGGCATTCATCATCCACGTGTCCCAGCAGGAAGAAGGGGCAGCCTTCCGGTGACTGAGGACTTTTCTCCAGGAGCTGGCGCAGCTCCAGGTCCAAAGAGCAAAGTGGAGCTGCCGAGCTCGTCCCCATGCGGGAGCAGCCCTGCTCCCCTCAGCCCCTCTGAGCTGCACATCCCAACCTCCTCCTCTCATCCCTGCTTCTGGCTTAATCCTATCACAGCCTAGAAAGAAGTTGGGAAAGGAAGAGGATTTCTGCTTAAAAGGAAAAAGAAAGGAGAGGAGTTGTAAAAGCCGGGGATGGAGGAGGGAACAGAAACATCCTTCTTTCAAGGAAAAGATGCTGTGGCTGCTGTTCTGGGTACCATATGCCAGGTAATAACACGAGATGACTCAGTGTTTGGGAAATTAAATTGGCTCTTTATTAAAAGCACGCATTTAGGGAGGTAGTGAGGTGTCAGGGGAGTCCCTGCATTGCCTTAGCAGAGGGAATTCAGGCAGGCTGTCTGGCTCCTTGTGCTGCCGAGCACGGAGTTCACAAGGTGCTGGGACACAAATCCAGCCTCAGCATCCTCCCAGGGCTGCTCCCAGGGAGCACTGAGCATCTCTGGGAAGATGTTAGGAGCTCTTCCTAAGCTCTCTCCTACCTAATTCAGTGGAAGCTGTTGGGTCTCTGCCAGTGGGAAGCGCTCCAGCATCAAGACTTTTGTCCCAGGAAAATAGCAAGAGGCGGAAAGAGCAGCCGGGGACACGAAGAATTTTGAGAGCACAAGCTGCAACTCAAAAAATGCTGTGCCAAACTCTAGTCTTGCCCTGGCAATAGCCTTTAAAATGCCTTAGCAATTGTGGGAATCTGCTGATTCCAAGGGGAAGTACAGAATATTGACAAAGTACCTTGCTCGTAGCTGGGTTGTGCTGGTAGCTTGGTGCCCTTTCTCTAGCTCGGAGCAAATCTTGGCCTCAGATAAAGTAGCTGAAGGCAAAATTCAATGTACTGTGTTGTGCTCAAATCATACATCCCCTCTGTGGAATTCTCATTTTTTACATACAGACAGGTACTGAAAAATTAAGCTAAAGATGAGAATTCATTTTTTCTTCCCCAGGTCCTGCCAGCACAGGTGGGATGATGGACGTGTCTGCCAGGATGGGGGCACAGCGATGACCTCAATGGGTTTCTAAGAAGTGGCTGTGGCCATTAAGTGCTTAGATGCTCCCTCAGAGACTTCTGCAGGAAAATAAACACTTAAAATAGTTGGCCAACAATCTTCCTGCCAGAATTAGACTGATCCTTATTATGGTCGGGCCGCAGTTGAATTGAAAGCAAATAGACGTCCTTTAAAAACACAAATAATAGACCCACTGTAGGAGCAGAGGACTGGAGACAGACAAGGTCTTTATTCCCATTCTGACAGAGCCTGAGTGAGCAGCTCTGCCCTCCTTCCCAAGCATCTGTCCCCCTTCCCAAGGGAGGTGTCTGTCTGTGCCTAGGGTCAGGGATATTGGATGTGGAGTTCCAGCAGTCCCTGCTCTATCCAAACTTTAAGGTGTGAGGCAGCCTGGCTGAAAACCTGGAGAGAAACAGAGGTGATGGGGTGTGAATGTGGCCAGACAGGGTGTTCATGACAAAAGAGACAGCACTAGCATGTTAGTACTCTCTCCTGTACAAAAAAAAAAAAAAAAATTAAATATATATATATATATAGAGAGAGAGAGAGAGAGACATAGATAGATAGATAGATAGATATATTCTATATTTACATTTCAGA